CCTGGAATGTGACATGCTCTTATGTGGATGTTCAGATCGTCGATTACGTCGAGCAGTTGAAAGCAGAGATCTAGTAGGTTCAATGATCTTGTTGAGCCTTGCTTGTTTATGTAAAACGCCACTGTTGAGTTGTCTGTGTGTACCATGAGATGCGCATTCTGTAGAATGGTGCTCCAATGGAGTATGGCTGTGATGGCTGCTTTCATCTCCAGCATGTTGATGTGCAGACGTTTCTTCTCCTGGTTCCATATCCCGGATGCCACATGGTTGTCGAGATGTGCTCCTCAACCTTGGAGTGACGCGTCTACGTATAGATGGGTCTTGAATTCCGGCTCTGCTAAATAGATGCCTTCACAAACATTCGACCTCCGGGTCCACCATAGTAGATGAGGTCTGAGTTAATTCGGTAGACCGAAAGGTTGTAGGTCGTCGAGATGAGCGTTGATGAGGACCTGTAACAGGCGTAGCTGTAGTCTGCCTCTGGCTGTCGAGTCTTGTGCGGACTTGAGGAGACCCAACAGACTCTGCCACTGTCGTAGTGGCCATGGAGAGAGTAAGGCTTGAGGGATGGTCTGTTGAATCTTGAGCCATCGGTCCTCTGGTACGATGACACGATTCTGCGTCGTGAGAAATCTGATGCCTAGAAACTGTAGGTCCTGCGTAGGTTGTAGGTCCGACTTGAGTAGATTCACTAACCATCCTAGCTGAGTGAGTAGATTGATGGTGAAATTCAATTGTAGTTTGAGACGGACTGGATCTTGATCTACTTGAATCCTGTCGTCGAGGTAGAATGCATTGCGTAGCCCTCGATGATGTGACTACAGGTTTCGTTACTCTTGTAAACAACCAGGGGGCCGATGATATTCCAAATGGCAATGTAGACCTGAGGTATTTTCTCGAGTCGGGATGTATCGGGATATGCAGGTAGGCATCCTGTAGATCTATGCTTGCCATGTAGTCCATGGGACGGACGAGGCGGATTAGTTGAGGTAGATGTATCATGCGGAACTTGGGAGGTCTGCGTAGATAATCCCTGTTGAACTTCCTCATATTGTAGATGAGTCGGAACTTTTCCTTGCAATTTTTCTTTGGTACCAGGAAAACTGGGGAGTAGAAACCTGGTTCAATGTTGACTTGATCCACGATATCTATGGCCTGCTTGGTTAGAAGAGATGAGACAGCCTCTCGTAACTTCTCTATCTGATGTATCTTGCAGTCGAACTTGTGCGGGTTGACTGTCAGCGGTGGCGTGGCCTGTAGTTGGATGCGATATCCGTGTCTTAGGATGTTGGATACGTATGGATCTTGTAGTATTTCCCAGTTTTCCCAGTGGCGTTGTAGACGTTCACCCACTTGGGAAGGTTGTACAGGAACGGCTGGGGGTGGAAGACTCCAGTCGTTCCGAACCCGTCTTTCATCATCGATAATTCCGGGAGCCTCTGGGTGCCCTGCCTCGTCCGGATCCTCCCCTGTAGTTGCCAGATGGGTGGCGAAAAGAGTCCTTCCCATCTCTGGAGCTAGCCACTTTCCTGTCACGTGCCCTCTGTAATCCAGGAAACTTGGATCTTCCCGAGTACCGTTGGGTTGTCTGCTTGATGATGTTGGCCAGAGTGTCTGTGGACTTGATCATTAAGACTTCTCTTGAATCTTTGGTGACTTCTTTAGCAACTCTGTCGATTTCTCCAGCGAAGATGGAAGGAGTCGACCACGGGGCTGTGTAGAGTGACGCTGTAAATTGTTCACTCCAACTGCAGGAGGCGAGGAGACCTTGATGACGAGCCAGAGTTAGCACTGCGGAGATGGATGAAAGGTGATCTGTCATGAACTGTTGGTCCTTCTTCTGCATGAGGAGGGCCGAGTAAATCATCCGTCTTCTTCCGCAGTGGAATCTTGAAACTTGGCGATGAGCGTTTCGTTGACTGTGCAAGATCTGTTGAGGCCGAAGAACATTCTTCTGGTCATAGATTCTACTTGAGCCAGCTTGCGGTCCTCAATCTTGTAAGACTTGGCCTTGGCATCGCTGATTATTTAAAAATTCTCGTCTATATCCTGAGCTTTGAGGAAAGGATCCATATTATGGGTGGAGAACTTCCTGGCTGAACTGTGGTAAGTGTGGCACCTGGGCTGTAGTGGCTGTCTTGAAAACTGCATCCAAGTTTTGTGAAACCGTTGCGATGGGATCGATCGGAGGCAGAGTGAGCGTGTCGACGTCATCATCTCTCATAGGATAGGTGTAAGACGGATTATCGTCTTTACATGGTGAAGCCAAGTCCAAACCATTAGCCATCCAGTAGCGTATATCAGAGTCCGAAAAAATGATGCCGCCATCATCTTCAGTAACAGGAGTGCTGAGAATGGGATGTTGATACTCCTCCGGTGGTGAACGAGGTGGAGTCCTGCATGACTGTGGCGATCCACGTGGAGACCTGCGCGGAGACACTTGTAGGGCGAACGTCGTGTTGACCTGCGTGGAGACCTTCGTGGAGACCTGTGCGGAGACCTGTGTGGGGATCTGCGTGGAGATCGGCGAGGAGATCGACGTGGTGAATGGCCCGACGAACTGTGCCTGTAGGGTGACCTGCGCAGGGACCTGCGCGGTGATGAGCGACTGTGGGTTCGCGAAGGTCCTGGTGAATCCCTTGACGATCTATGAGACGAATATGTCTTGGATACTGTAGTTGACGTAGTGAAGCTTCATCTGAGTCTGCACTTGGGGAGTGGCGACGGGTCCTTCACGAAGGCTGGATGTCTGAGCCAGAGTCCGGGGATGAGCGATTCTTCCTTCGCGAATGCTTCCGTGAACGTTGATCATCCGAGTCCGGAGCAGGTGAAGATCGTGTAGTCTTTCGCGAAGGTCTTCGCGAACGCTGATCGTCCGGGTCCTCCGCAGGGGTTGGCTGGGTCGACCTTCGCGCAGGCTGGTCCGTTGGAGTTCTACTGGTAGAAGTCTCGCTGATGGCAGGCCCCTCAGAGATGATGTCTGCGTTGGAAGGCTCGGATCCTGGGCTGGCTGTCTCTTTCCCAGGCTGTAACGTCATCTCCATGATCTGCTGGGAGAACTGCTGCATAAAGTCGCCCGGGAAGGTCTGCGGTGGTATCAGTGCTGCCCTTTCTGCGACGACGGGATGTCTTGAGATGCAGGTCTCTTTTTGGAGGTGGCGGACTGCGTCCCACGCCTCTCCTCCGAGGGGAACTCCAGCGGAACACCAGACGGTAGGGGGTCGTCCGACAGCAGTTGACTGTTGAGGGACTCCATGACTGGAACAATCTTACGCGACCTATCAGCAGCACGTCTCAAAACACCAAGAATATATTTATTAAATGCACAATTTGATAAAGGCTTGCAAAAATTGCAGCGTGAGCTGAAAGAACATGGTATAGTGCAGCTAGGGTATATTAGGTGCGGGTCAGCAGCAGAGAAACGTAACTTGCATACGTAAAAGATTTTCATGAACGTAGACTACTGAACAATCACCGAATAACCCGTGAATAAACAGTGAGAAATACGAATAAATATCAAAACATATTGATGAAGGATACTAGCTAAACCTCTATAAAGAACTGATAGAGGTAACTAACTAAATAATCAAAGGATATAGTGCCGTAAGGAGACACAGGCGCTCTCACAACCTGCTCACTGGGCGAAGAAGGAGAGAGTGAAGCATGTGGGGAACAGTGGCGCCAGTTTTCTGCCAAAACGGAAGGAGGGACAACTCTTGGTGAGTAGTGATTAGTGATTTTACGCACGTTTTTTATTGAAGGGAGCTTCAATAAGGAGATACAAGTGTTCCACTAGGTTCGCAAGAAGAAGACAAGCAAATAAGCATGAGTCAGGATAAGGAAAAATATTCAATACTAATTATTACCACAAGCGATATCTTACGATTCAGATGTCAGGAAAATTAAAATGTGAATATTAGTTTCATCATGATCAATAATAGCTTTGAGAAAGACACCAGTTTAAAGTAATATTAAAGATATCTCACAGATACACTATTTATAAAGGTATACACTTTTGATACACTATTCATAAAGGTATACCCCAGTAAGTTACGACTACATAGTTTAAAACATGTTCTACATAAATCCTAGCCTAAGTTAATAAAGACTCAATTCAGTAAGACCAAAGCTATGTCTAGGTGCTTTAATAAATTGCTTTGATTTAATTTATAAAGTAATGGATATGTCCTAACTGTATTGGAATAAAATTAAGCAAACACTTCAATTTAGGATCATTAAGACCTAGCCCTGAGCAAGCCCATCAAATTTTAATACCAAAGTCATCCAAGCATCCAGTAAATGTGTCAACAAGATTAGTGCCAGTTGAATTAAGATTAGCAGGAGTAAGTACTCCCCTCTGTCTAGTCATTTCATTGGTTATCATAGGGCACACCCATTTCGCATCATCAACAAATCGTAATCTTTTTATTGTTTCAATTATAGATAAATAGTTATAAATCAAAATGTTAGTCAGTAGGGTTTAGACTCTCCCAACACTGGTTAGCTCTAGCCCTAAGCCCAGAGGCTTGTATCGACTTTCTGTGGCCACACCATGTTATTCTGTTCTAGTAAATAAAATTCTAAAAGTTGTAATTAGCTTCTTGCGACTTCAGGCTGTTTGCTGAGTTAATTCACCACAAGCAGACCTGCACGCCAGGCTGAAGTTATATAACTGCAATATAGTTGCAATGATAAGGGTGAAAAGAAACTGACAGGACATGCACAGTAAGTAGCAAAGCAAGCTGCACCAAAATTTCAGCAAATTATTTTCATTTTCAATCATTTCCTCTATGACATGTATGTTTAGATAACATGAAGGGAATTCACAAACCTCACTTTACAAAACTTGCAGTGATATAAAGGGTTTAATGATAATGCAGAAAATGATAAAATGAAATGCTATGCACTGGCAAACAATCATTGTGAGACTGCCTAATCCGAGAGTGGAAGCATATCAGAAGACAATGACTTCATAAGTGATGCCTAATTTTTCATCATACCTGGGTCCATGATGGGAAAGAGTTGCCTTCCAAGAATATTGTCCACATGCTTGAAGAGAATTTCACTACTCTTGTCATGGACATCTGGTTGAAGCCAGCCTTCCCGCTCAGTACATACGCTCTCCTGCAGCAAACAATGCCAAATTCATGTAAATTTTGTTTCAAATGCAAGATACATAGAAATAAAAGTACATTACACATCCACACAGTGAGGGAGGATTTGTAGCTTAACTATCTGAAATCATGCAAATACTATCTTGAAATAAACCCAGTAAAATCATGTAATTTTCAGAATAAAATTGATATTTCATACTTATCCTGACTCATGCTATTTTGCTTGTCTTCTTCTTCTTGCGAACACAGTGGAACACTTGTATCTCTCAATTGAAGCTCCCTTCAATGTAAAATCACTAATTAGTACTCACCAAGAGTTATCTCTTTCCCAATCGTTTGCGCGGGAACGAGGGCGCCACCTCCCGCCACATGCCTCACTCTCTCCTTATATAGCGAGCCCAACACTTGAATTTTCAGGGAAATCCAAAGTGTTATGTGGGGAGGATGGGAGGGCTTACCTCATGAGTCAGGATAAGTATAAAATATAAATTTTATTCAGAAACTTACATATTTTTCCTTATCCTGACTCATGCTATTTTGCTTGTAGAATCCTACGGATACGGAGGTGGGAATACAAAATATTTTGGATTTAGATAATTAGTGATTTGATAACTGTAATAACTGTAATAACCCCTATGGGAACTTCATAAAGGCACTGAATTGATAAATTCCTGCTGTTAAACTTATCAGCTGCCATATATGGGTTACTACAATATATAGATATTATGATAAACATAAATAAAGTATTTACATCATGAATACTATGCTTAAGACTAAGATAGACTTAAGCTTGATAATATAATAGCATAAACTTCATAGAGTTGTTAGCTAATGATATTATTATGATATAATAAACATAGTACTGAGCTTAAGATTGTGATTGAACTTAAGCTAAAATATATAGTAGTATAAACTTCATGGAGTTATTAGCTATATAGTACTGTTATGAAATAAGCAGTAAAAATCTCGTAAGATTGACTTATCTTCTCCGAGGGACTGTCAACTGCTGTGCGAGGACCATGGGACCGAAATGGTGAATACCTGAGACGTCCTCGGGGGTGATATCTCTCAGATAGTGGTTGGCAAACACCATATCGGATCTCCAGAAGCAGTGTTGAAGCTAGCGCTCTAATTTCATGTGGATTAGATGCTCTTGGAGGGTCGAGTCCTGCAGCCTTGTAGGCACGTAGTATGACAGTCCTGATCCATATCTAGATGGTTGTACGTGAGACTTCAGTCTGTGTAGCAGTTGATAGAGGGATGAATAATCGTTTGAGTTTTTGTCGCCTCGGTTTGGATCGCCTTAGATATATTTTCAGTGCTCTGACTGGGCATAATGATAGATCCAGTGTATCATGAGGTCCAAGAATTGATGAGAGAGCTGGGACGTGGAATAATCTGTCTGGTTGACCTGGTAACTGGAGCTTGGCGATGAAATCCCAGCGTAGTCCCATATGCACGATGTTATGATTGTCATCAAAGCGTGTTCTCTCGTAATCTAGTGCGTGAATCTCTGACATCCTGGCTGCTGTTGCTAGGGATAACAGGAACAAAGTTTTCTGTGTCAGAAATTCGAATGATGTTGATTCCAGTGGTTCATATGCCTCATTTGTGAGATGTTGGAGCACTACATTTAGATCCCATGCTGGAGCCCGAAATCTCTGTTTCTGATCCTCCAATCGGAATGCACGTAGTAAGGCGAGTAACTCTGGGGTCTTCGTCAACTTGACACCCGTTCTCATAGTTATGACGGAGCTTAAAGCTGCAAGATATGTTGATAATGTTGAGCCTTTTAGACGTTTAGTTTGTCGTAGGTAACATAAGTAGTCAGCCACTTGTGGATGTGTAGCATATCTAGCTGTAAATCTTTCTTTGCAGCATAATTTTCAAAACTGTGCCACTTGTCATCGTACAAGTTGCGAGTGGAGTTACGTAAGGCAAGCGTGACTGCTTTCGCGCTCTGGCTGAATAACCTCTCTTGTTTAGACACGCCTTTAATACAGTCCATACGTGAAGTTGGAATGCTTCTGGCTTTCCGCGCGCTTGTTTGGTGTGAGGATGTATTAGTAGATTCGAGGCTTTGGAAGTTGTAGTATTGGTTGTCCGATTTCTTGAATAAGAGTTGGAAACCACGCTCTCTGGCTGGCCAGTAGGGCTGACTAAAATCATTTGGAGGCTCCGAGTTTGCTTGATTTTCTGTAACACCTGTGGGATTAACGCTGGCGGCGGGAACGCGTATGTGTTGAGTCCTTCCCACGATATGCTTAGTGCGTCCGTTGCCCATGCTAGTGGGTCTAGAACTGGTGATACGAATGTTGTCAGCTGATTGTTGAAGCGAGTGGCAAATAGGTCTATTAGTGGAGCTCCTATATTCTTGATAATTTGTGCGAATATCTCTGTATGGAGCATCCATTCTGTCGGTGATGGTAGGTGTGACCGACAGAGAGCATCTGCTATTACATTCTTTGCTCCTGGAATGTGACATGCTCTGACATGTATGTTGAGATTGTCGATTAAATCGAACAATTGAAAACATAGAGTCAATAGGTTCGGGGACCTGGTTGAGCCTTGTTTGTTCACATAAAAAGCCACTGTTGAATTGTCTGTGTGAATCATCAATTGGGCATTCTTTAGTAAGTTGCTCGAATGTAGTATGCCGTTTACTACAGCTTGCATTTCTGACAAGTTTATGTGTAGTTTGCTCTCTTGTTGGCTCCATAACCCTGATGCCGTCCTGTTGGCGAGGTGTGCTCCCCAACCTTGGAGTGACGCGTCTACATAGAGATGTGTTTTCAATTCCGTCTCTATTAAAGAGATGCCTACGCAAACATTCGATCTCTTGGTCCACCATAGTAGGTGAGGTTTGACGTGATCCGGTAGACTGAATGGTTGAGGGTCGTCGAGATGAGAGTTGATAAGGACCTGTAACGGACTGTCATGTCTTGCGTAGGTTCTAGGTCCGACTTGAGTAGATTTATTAACCATCCTAGCTGTGTTAGTAGCTTGATGATGAAGTTTAACTGTAGTCTGAGACGCTGTGGATCTGGATCCACTTGTATCCCGTCGTCGAGGTAGAACGCACTGCGTAGTCCTTGACGATGTAGGTAAGAGACAATAGGTTTCGTCACTCTTGTGAATAACCAGGGGGCCGATGAGATTCCAAAAGGTAGTACTTTCCATTGGTAATGCAGCCCATCTAGTGTAAACCGAAGGTATTTCCTGGAGTCGGGATGTATTGGGATGTGCAGATATGCGTCTTGCAGATCTATGCTGGCCATGTAGTCTCTGGGACGAATTAAGTGCCGTAGTTGTGGTAAGTGTATCATGCGAAATGCTGGCGGTTTGCGTAGATAGTCTCTGTTGAACGTGCTCATATTGTAGATGAGACAAAACTTTTCCTTGGAATTTTTCTTGGGCACTAGGAAAACTGGGGAGTAGAAGCCTGGTTCGATGTTTACTTGGTCCAGTACTTCTATGGCCTGCTTGGTTAGGAGCGTTGATACCGCTTCTCTTAACTTTGGTAGTTGTAGAGCCTGGAAGTCGAACCTCGGAGGGATGACTGTCAGCGGGAGGCGTGGCCTGTAGTTGTATTCGATATCCGTGCTGTAGGATGTTGGAGACATATGGATCCTCTAGGAATCCCCAGTTTTCCCAGTGCAGTTGAAGGCGTCCACCCACTTGTGATGGTTGCACTGGAACGGCTGGGGGTGGAAGACTCCAGTCGTTCCGAACCTGTCCTTCATCGTTTATAATTACGGGAGCCTCTGGATGACCTGCCTCTTCCTGATGCTCCTCTGTAATTGCCGTATGGGCGGCGAAAAGACTCTTTTGCTCCTCTTACACTAGCCATCTTCCTGTCCCGTGCTTTCTGTAGACCGGAGAACTTCGATTTGCCTGAGTACCTCTGCGAAGTTTGTCTGATGACGCTTGCTAGCGTATCCATAGACTTTATCATGAGTACCTCTCTTGAGTCTTTAGAGACTTCTTTAGAGACTTTGTCTATGTTACCATCGAAGATGGACGGTGAAGACCACGGGGCTGTGTAAAGTGGTGCGGTGAAGTGATCACCCCAAATACAGGAGGCGAGGAGACCTTGACGACGAGCCATAGTTGTAGCTGAGGATAGTGCTGTCAAGTGATCCGTAAGGAACTGCTGGTCCTTTTTCTGCATGAGGAGGGCAGAGTAAATCATCCTGTCATCCTCAGATGTAGAGTCTCTGAACTTCGTGAGGAGAGTTTCGTTGACTGTTCTTGATCTGTTCAGACCAAAGAACATCCTCCTTGATATGGTTTCCATCTGGACTAGCTTGCGGTCATCTATTCTGTAAGTCTTGGACTTGGCATCACTGATCATCTTATAGTTATCATCGATATCTTGTGCCTTGTAAAAAGGGTCCATGTTGTGACCTGCAAACTTGTTAGCGTTGAAATGCGGCACATGAGGTGTCTGTGATTTCGTGGCTTTACTAAAGGCTGTATCCAGATTAGCTGGCACCGCTGCTATCGGGTCAATCGGAGGTAAGGTGATTGTGTCAGCATCGCTTCTCCATAAGATATGTGTGGGCTGAGTTCTCGTTCTTAGCCGGGAAGAAATGTTCCAGACTATTCACCATCCAATATCTTATTTCTGCGTCGGAAAATACGATACCATCTTCATCTTCAGACATCGGGTCACAGATAATGTGTTGATGCTCCTCCGATAGTGACTGAGGTGGAGTCCTAGATGATCTGTACGTGGATCGACAAGGTGATCGATGAGGCGATCGATAAGGAGATCGGCGAGTAGAATAATGTGGTGAACGGACTGACGAGTGGCGTCTATAAGGTGACCTTCGCGGAGACTTCCTTGGCGAACGCTGGTAGCTTCGCGGAGCTCTCGGTGAATCCCTTAATGATCTTCTAGATGAGGATGACTTGGAGCCACTTAACCTTCGTGAACGTCCTCTCTCATCAAGGTCCGACATAGGTGATATAGTCATCCTCCGTGAAGCCTTCCGTGACTGCTGAGGA